AGGGGTCATAGGAAGAGGACGGCCCAGGAACATCATTGCTGATGGGATGGGAAGAACGAGGAGCAGCAAGCAAATCCCGAATACCCTGCATGACGTGACGTATCGCATAGTTCGAGATTCTGTGGACTACAAAGATCATGGGGAAAATGAGGAGTAGGACTATCTAGATTAGGATCACCATGGTCCATAGGGGGTTTTCTATGTTTTTTGTGAACTACGGTTTTCCAACATTCATGGCCTGTAATAGAGGATTCATGGAGAATGGGAATCGATGAGCCCTGAACTGAAATCCAAACCTGAAAGAAAAGTACATTAAAATGCAATTCAAGGGAGGAGGGAATGGATTCAGGATGAGGATTCCACCAGAATAATAACAAAGCCCAACGAAAGGGTCCCAAGAGATTTCCAGTGCAATGTGATGAAACTACCACAACACTCACCAATGGCTCTAAAAACTTGTTGAGTCCAGAGGTGAATTGGAATGCCTTCAACTGCTAGCCAGAGCTTGGTTCTATTCACTGCTTCTAAATATTCCTCCCATTTCCTTAACATGAGACGTCCTCCTTTGAAGTGAAGTTTGTTAAGAGCTACTTCGGTTGGGGTGACTGCATCCTCTGGCACTGAAACAAGGTAACTCATATTCTGCAGGAGTTTACAAGAGCAGTTTCTAGTCTTGAAAATCTGATTGAACCATTTAGTGATTCCTCTGAGGTCATCCACTGAGACGAGAAAGAAGCCACAAAGAATTACGAACAGAGGGAGCGCTCAAGAATCTCTCTAGAACTATCGAGCCAAATATGGGGATGGAGTTGACGAACGTAAGCCGATTAAGTTCGACCTCTGTTTTGATCGTAGGAGATGGGGAAGAAGCAGAGGAAGATGGGCTTTATTAGGAGCAGTTGTAACTTCTGCGTATGTTTTCTAAGCAGTGGTGTTTTCAATATAAGGTTTGGGTAGGACAGGGGTAGAGGATGAGAGCAGGGTTGTGATGGGGGATGGGGGTAGATAAGATTTCTATAGAACTAGTAAAGCGGGCGGGGGGCAGGTTTGACAAGTGCAAAATTGGAATTATGATTAAGAGGAGGTATAGCTCGTCCCTGGGATTTCAACAGTATCCATCCTTCACAGTTTGATCTTAGTATGTTAAAAAAAGAAAAAAGACATCACTTCACACAATATAACTTACATAAAAGATCATCAAGAAACTAGTTATAGCATACTTTAGATAAAATTTGATTCATTTCCTCTATAAATAATGTAAAATATAGCTCTCTATGGATTTTTGGGCAAGGCATCTCACACTGTAAAAATTTGTAAAACTGTATCTTTCCTTTCTCAATCTACAAATCAGTGATTAAATCCCCAAATTACTTTTTTGGGGCTTTTCTTCTTGAAAAATAAAAAAACCTCTCCCTCCCTTAACCAATAGAATGTTAAGCAAAAGAGTCCTCTCTCTTTTTTATAATCAAATTGAGCTCAATTTTTTGGGGTGTATACTTCTCACTTTGGTGCACCAGTAAAAAATATACAAAACAATTTTAAAAAATAAGATGAACAAAATAGCTCTGAACTATTTTTGTCATTTTATTTTTAAGAAATACTTTGTTATAGCTTTTACAAGTGCACCTCCAAGTATGAAGCATACAAGCCAAAATTTTCGCCCAATAATATCATCATCGTTTGAGCCATATTCCAACTATTTGGGTGTTAAAATTAATAATAAATTAAAATAATCTACACGCTCTCAACAGTTTGATCAAGATCAGACGGCGAAGAAGGTGTGAAAGAATATTGTAGAAACACACCTCCAAGGCGTTTTGAAGATTCTTCCAAATATGCAAAGGTTAATGTTAAAATGAGTTGTGAAGGGTAGATTTACCAAATATATTGTTTCTTTTTTTATAAAAAGTTATTTTTTATGGTAGGTTGCTCATTAAGTAAAAGAGCACATACAATTATTAGTAAAATAGTAAAAGACAATGGGTACTTTTGTCATAACTGTTTTTCTCAATTTTCACTAAAGGATAAGGATATTGTAGTAACAAAGTTCTACAACACTTAGTTAACCGTTTTTGTTTCTCAAAAAACGTTCTACAACACTTACTTCCAAAATACCATTGTACTTTCCTAAAAATTTCAAATATATTATTAACTATTAAGTTACTTATAGAAAATAACTTTTAAACAAAGAGTAATGACTTTCTGGTAAAGAAGCCTATCACAACCCATTCCATCATTAACCTTTTTCTTTTTGGGAGTTGTGGTTGTTAACTACAGATAAACCTATATAACTACATACATACAAACATAAGTATAAATATAGTACAGATAGACACTTGATGTCTAGCTCTTAACATCTTCATCTGGGAAATGAGGTGATCTGAATATTTGGGAGGCTTATATCGACCAGAGTCTTCTTCTAGGAGGCCATTTACCCATTGAGAAACTGAGGTTTCTTCATCTATTTCTTAAGAGAATGAAATATTACTATCAAAATTTTCCTCAAGAGTCGTATTTTTCTTTTCCATCATTCTGGCATAATCCTCAAGTCCTGGAGGGTATTTAGGATATGCTTTGGAACATGCCGCCTTTTTACTAGCAGAGGACGATGCTTCATCATCGGGTATTCTTTTGGATAATTTCTCCTTTTTCTTCTTTTTTTTTTCCCATAACTCAGTGGGGACAATCCCCCCTAACGTTGGTAGGACTCGAGCCTGAATCCCGAATTTTATCGCCCGACATGCTGGCCGGTTTATACCCAAGCTTCTTGCCTGGGTATAAATTTTTGCACCAAAGAGTTATGAAAAATTGGATAAAATACTCACAAGGGCAATAAGTTGACACCATGAATGGTAGAAGAAAATTAACAGAATTTGCGATCAATGTCCTGAAGCCAGTTCAAAATTGGTGGATATAAGAGAGATTACACAAATCCTCATAAAATGTTGTGTTGAACATCCCTTGGAGAATTGGGATAAAGATTCGCCCAAAGCCCATATACCAACTCTCCATGACATTCCAATTCAAAGTAAACCTATAACATGCAACAAAGAAGACGAAGAAGAACTAAAAACTCAGATAAAAGAATTGGAAGAAAGGGGGTTAATTAGGCCATCTCAATCAAATTATTCTTGTGCAACCTTTATTGTGAGAAACCATTCAAGAAGAAAAAAAAGGGCAGGCTAGAATGGCGATTAATTATATTCCTCTGAACCAGGTAACAGTAGATATTAAATGACCATACCCAATAAGGAAGAGCTAATACAAAGAGTTGCTGAAAAATTTATTATTTCAATATTTGACTGCAAATCAGGATACCACCAAGTAAAAATTGAAGAAGAAGATATTCATAAAACAGCTTTTTCTACCCTTGAAGGGTTATACGAATGTCTAGTGATACCTTCAAAGTGAAAAATGCCCCCTCCCAATTTCAAAGGAGGATGGATTCAATATTCAAGCCATTCTCTAATTTTTTTGCTAATTATTAGATGATTTTGTTGTCGATTCTGAAAGCATGCAAGATCATTTGGAGCATCTCATAATATTTGCAGAAATTGTGCAAAAATATGGAATAGGCCTCTCCTCTTCAAAAGACAAGTTTCAATTGCAAAAGAATCAGTTGATGTTCTTGGTGTACATATCTCCAAAGGCCAAAAAACGATGCAGCCCCACGTTATCCAAAAAAATTAAAATTTTCAAAATAAACTGCAAGATAAATTACAATGTCAAAAGATCCTTGGTTGTCTCAATTTATATTCGAGATTTTATTCTCAAGCTATCTGAGAAAACTAAGAAAAATAGAAAAGCTATGAAGGAAGATCCATTTCGATGGACCGAAGATGTTGCTCAAGAAGTAAGACAGCTCAAAGCAGAAGTACAAACTCTACCCCCTTTAGCGCTTGTATATAGCAAACCTTTTATTCATTCTATTGACGCCCCATCTGATACATGGGCATCTGTCCAACTAAAAAAGGAAAATAAAGAAGAAAAAAATATGTGCATACACCAGTGGCCAATTCAAGAAGCATGCGCTAAACTATTGGCCCACAGAAAAAGAAATATGGGCTACGGTAAGAGGAGTCCGAAAACTTCACACTAGCTTAATAAGTGAAATATTTATCCTTAGAACTGACTCTTCAAATTTGGTTAGTGTAATGAAAGAGAAAATTACCAGCAATCCAAACTTACAAAGGTATAAATGGTGGTCATTCATCCTTTCTCAATATAATTTTTCAATTGAAAAAGTTCTGAGAACAGAACATCATCTTCCAAATGCCCTCACAAGAGAAATGAAGATGATAGGAACAATTCACAAGGATGCATTGCTAACATGTCCAAGAGAAACCCAATAAGAAAGACAGAAATTTTGTCATAATAGTACGAAGAACCATTAAAGTGAAATAAAATAAGTCAAGAGATATCAAGGCAGTGTCTTAGGAACCACTGAAACTGTGTCACTGAAGGGTGGGACTCTCGATGAACCCCTTGATTAGCAAGGGTGCCAGCCTCCTCATTGGCTCCCTTAAGAAATGATGTAGGAATTTTGAAGAAAACAGTAAAATCAACAAGTTTTAGGCCAAATAATAGCAAAAGAAAAGAATTTTTTCTTTCTTTTGCCACTAAAAAGGATATTAATTATTTGTGCGCAACAGGGGAGGTGAAAAGATGTAGAAATTTGTATAGCCTAATAAGTTTGTCATGAAATCTCTAGCAGTGTTGTTATGAATATACTAATTCTTTTGAATAAGCCATACAATTAGTTCAAGTTCCAAGGATGTCCATTTGAAATTGTTTATGACTATACTAATTCTTCTGGCAGAAGTAAGGAAACAATCTATGCTAGCATACGACCCTGCTGCTTATTCAATATCATCAAATTCAGGAGAGAAGAAACTCCTTATCCTTGATCATCATAATAGATCACAGGATGGTGTTTTTGCACAAAAACCAAGGCATTAAAGTGATCCAAAACATAAAAACCATAGAAGAAAAGAAATTACCTTCCACCAGATATAACCGTATCCTGCAACTCCAATTACAAGAATCGGCATAGCATATGTCCCAGCACCTACCAACCAAGCTAACCATTCATCAAATATTCTCAAAGCAAAAAAGACGATTTCTTTTAGTAGTAAAAGCAACACAATAAATTAAACAGAGCAAACAGTTCCAATACAGCCCCTCCATAATAAATATGTAAAGTAGCAATTCACAGTTTCCCATTTAAGTTGGACAAACAGATTTGCTAGGTAATCACATAATTACCAGATAGTCATAGATCAATTCCCCCAGAATTATTTACTAAAACAAAAAAAAACGAATGAGTCCAGTTGGTTTATCTACCATCCTTCACGCAAATATCATATATACCTTACAAAAGTATCATATATACTTTTTATAAGATCCTAACTGTCACGTGGCTCTTCTACTAGTTATTCTTTCAGCAACAGAAGTTAATCAGAATAAATATAGGTAATTTTGATTGGAATAATTATACCAGAAGATGTATGGCAAATGCAATACATGAACATACTGACCTGAATTAGAACTTCCAGTTATAACTGTGACTGACCTAGACGAAGCAAAAAGTTGCAACTCCTCTTGGAGACTTTTGACCTGTAAAGGCATCCTCTTCTATTAGTGTGTGACGCAATTATTAACAAAATCATAATGAATACAAAATCACCATCACGTTTCAGAATCCAAAACTTGATCGGTAAGAACCACAAGAAACTGGTACCGATATATTAAGATCAAAGTAATTTGATGACTTCATGAACAACGAGTATATTGTTGTTTATATGTAACTACAAATATGAAGGAAAACAAGCAAAAAGTATGTAGGATATAAGCAGCAGTCGTTCTAGGATAACAATGAAAGGAAGAACATCAGATACCCAACTAGAATACGATACAAAACTAGGGTTTTCTATCTACAGGTAAGACCCCTGATTTGCAAAGAGCGAGGTCTAGGGTTCAAACCTCGAACCAAGCCAACCAACCCCCAAAGAAAACCTCAATGGGAAAAGCACATTTCATATACACACAATAAAAGCTGCTTGGTCCAAAGATTTTTCTAATACCTAACATGCCCCCATGATTTTCTATTTCGCTTATACTCCCAAACTCTCTAAAATATCCAATATGCACCAAACTACTTGATGGCACAGCACCCTATGCAGCCAAGAATATGGCATGCCAAAGAGGACCTGACATGGATCCTCAAGAAAATCTCAGTGGGTGTGGCTCCCTAGGAGGATTTCCTAGCAAAGTGGACAACCATGTGGTTCAATTAATAATTTCTTTTTTAGTGGTTTCTTGAGTGGACTCCCAAAATTGATAGGATTTCTTTCTTTAATTATTCATAGTTGTAACATGTTCAGTATCAGCATCCCTAGGAACTAAAAGTTCTTTGTTATATGCCTTAGAACCCTTAGAATTATTTTCTAGATTGCAGAGGAAGCTTTTCTAGTTTGCAGAGGAAGCTTTCTTGATTGTTTTTTAGTTCAAGTATGAAACCACCATAAATAGATGTACATGTCATTGGGAACAAAAACTTTCAATTGTGGCGAGAGACTACCCTTAGAGTTAGAGGATAGATTCCTCAAAGTTTTTTTGTAGGGAGAATGATTCTACAAACTAGTTTAAGATTGGTCCCCCCAACAATTTAGAGCCTCTTTTTCTTTCCTTTTGTGGGTGCTCCCCTTCCAAAAATCGCCCTCAACCAGATCAGATCTGCTCCCCTATTTTTACCCCATGAAATCAATTCTTCCTAAGCCCACGTTCTTCCCAAACTCATCACCGATACCCGCAAGCTCCCCAACCCTAAATGAACCCTAATCTCCTTTCATTCCTCTCAAATCTAACAATATCTAAATAAGCATCATAACATGCCTCCCCAACAATAAATGAACCCTAATCTCATTCTATTCCCTTAAAATCCAACAACATATAAATAAGCACCATAACATGTATTTTTATGTATTGCACTCTATATATGCTTTTGCATGCCATCCACACGCACCACACGCAATGGATAGATAAAAATGCCTTTACTTGTGCATATGAAGAAGCATATAATATGTGAAGCTGAACCATTGACCACAAATAGAAGATCCAGCATAACAGGCATAAATGCCAGTATGTGAACAGGGGATCTGATTGTAAGCCGATGGCTTAGCTTAGAAGGCATGTTTAACTAATCCTGGACTAAAATTCTGCAAATTGCAATGCTTCAATAGATATGCGATACCTCTTAAGTTGTCCACTAAAGGATCAACTTAAATAACATATACCAGTATACCATCATTCAGACATAGATTTAAGGAAAGTATCAATACAATCCGAAATTTCCAGAGAATAGAACAAACAATAGAAAATTTGTGGATACATCAAAACCTGTTGCATCAAAGAATCATTTTGAGAGTTGCCCTTCTTTGGAGAGTCATCAACTTGAATATGCTTCACGACAATCTGAGTGGAGAAAGCATAGTGGTGTCAGCAATGCAAAAAAATGCATTTTGTGTAGCATGAAGCAAATCAGCACTACTAACATTATTTTAGTGGATATATTGTAAAATAAGTTGGGCTGCCCACTCAAACGAGGCTAAGGCACAATTTGATTTCATAGCCATATTGCAATTTTGGCCTATTTGAGAATTTCTGACCAAGTTGACCCAAGGGGTGTTTGATTCGCGAATTGGAATTGCTTGTCAACTGCAATTGCGCCCTCAAATTGAATTTTTTGTGAAACTACTCTCAAATGTTTTGTAAAACCACCATCACACCGATCAAACACCCATAGAGAGCAAATGAGAATTGACCAAATCGCCATCTGGTCATTTACAATTTGAAGAAATATATTTGACAAAAGTTTGCAAACAAACGATCTCAAAGTTTGCATGACACATCATGCAGTCCGGTTAAGTGTCCATTATATTAGAACTTAAGAGTAATGTCTGTGCTAGAGACAGGAAATGTCATGAAGGAAACTGCCAAGATGGAACAATAACAAAATACAAAAAATTATAGAAGCAAAACCTGATCTACTAGCTTAAAAACAAGATACACTGAAAATTTTATTGATTTCAATTATTATGATATAACAGTGTTTGCAAGCTCTCCTAAACTCGATTTAGACTTGGGTGACTTACTCGGGCTCGGCAGGCTGTTGAGCCTAGAACAAGGTACATATATGTATCATGTACAGCATTTGGGTAATACAATAAAAATTCGCCTGAGTATTCTAAAATTCAAACTAACTTGCTCAAGTCTGTACAGTAGTTGGACGAGTCACTACACTACTCACCCGAGTACTGTACAAGTTGTAGTGTTGAAAGGAGCGTGGAAATCTAACCCCTTTTTTCTTCATTTGAAGTTGAGAGGGTTTTGAGCCCAAATTGAATCTAGCTTGATTTTTTTGCCCGATCTAACTATTAATTATATTAGATTTGAGGAACAAATATCAGATTTAACGGATTTGAGAGGGTAAGAAGAGTTTGCTCAATTTCAAAAAAATTGTGATTTATTCACAATGTGTGGTCAATCATTGATAAAAATTGATAACCAAGCCTTTTTGGTTCTTCACCAAAACATAGGCCTGTGTATAAAAAAAAAGGATTCGAATGATTTCAAATTTGGACTTAATATACTTTTGAATATTTCATGAGCTCAGATCTTCAAGATCCGAACTCGAATCCTAAATCTTATTTTGGGCTTTTGAATTGGGTTTTATGAGGAAGTATTGACAAGGATTGGAGGCATTGATCTCACCAACTGCGGTGATTGGAGGATCGCAATCAAAATTTTGGCAAATTTCATTCACCCTCTTTACTTCATATATTTAATTTATTTTCAACTAAAGTAATCATATTTCATTTATAATTACTCTTCATTTAATATTTGTATAAAATATCATACGGTGACCCATCAATTTTCCATCTTATATGAAATTTTCAGCTAATAACATCAAACTTTTATCATTTTTTATCTTTTACATATTTTTAATATTGATTATCAATTTTTTATTTCCACTTTTTTGTATTTTTCTTGGGTTTTTAGAATTTTTCATTTTTTATTTTTTACCATTATTGGGTTTTTCCCCTGTTTCCATGGCTCATACTAGACTCAGCCAAGTCAACTAGGACTCACCTGAGTTACTCAGCTGGCCTAAGGCCCACGTAAACTGTGGAATTTGACATGGTGGTATAGTACAAAGAGATTTTATCTTCTGGTTGTTGCAAGAGGAAATCAGTAACATTAGGTTGCACAAAAGACTGGACAAACATTGATGTGCTTGTCTACCAAGAGATTTAGAACAACATGGAAGTTGGTCTGGAAAACATTGGCAAGGCTGTTCAAGTATGCAGAAGGTAATATTGTCTTCAAACACACAAGCAAGAATGAGAATGTGGAAGAGAAAAAAAAAATAACTACTTCTCTATGATCAAGAAAGGGTTAATGCAAAAAAACAAACGATAAAATGTGATGGATTATAGGAAAGAAAAGTTTATATAAGGTGCCAACCTTATACTATAGAAGTACGGGGGACCTCAAAAACCCAACAAAATAGATTGTTTTGACACTGCAACTCCAATTGATCATCTCTATGGATATGAAAAAAATTGATTTCAAGTCTTGAAAATAGTGCATCATCTGGACCATCCATTTTCAAGATTTTCAAGTGTTCATTTAGATCTACACCATCTTTAGAGCTTTAAATTTCACGATTAGGGGCAAATAATTTTTTAGGCTATCACAAAGTTTTCCAACACCAAAACTACATCTTTTAGCATAATTTAGAGTTGTGCTTTATTTGGTTTGTCTAAAGTTGATGCCTCACCTGTATGAAAAACCATAATATATTGCGGCCATCACTTTCCAATGAAATGATGGAAAGCGGTGTACAGAGTGTGCCCCAGTAGTACAAGACATGACCCAAAGGAAAATACCACTCTTATTTCCCGCACCATCCAATTTACTTGAGAGCAATTACCCGAATGGGCTATGGTTTTCCATAGCACATGCAATTCTAGTAAACTTTCACCCAAAAAATAAAAATTGTCCTCCTGTCTAAAAACTATTGGGGAGGGTTAACAATAATGGTCAATGGACATTTCCCTCCCTGTATTCTAAGTAGATTATTAAGTCCACCAATTCACCAAGCACTATATCCTCAAAAAATTGTCATGCAATTATAACTTACATATTCAATCAGTTTCTTTATATATCAGTTCTTTTTTGGTTTTTCTTCTCTGAGAAATCAGTTCTTTTTTGGTTTATATATCAGTTCTTTTTTGGTTTTTCTTCTCTGAGAAATCAGTACTTTTTTGGCATGAATTATAGTAAGTAAATAATTTATTGTATTTGGCTCTGAATATCATGTTTCGAACCAATCTCTAGGTCAAACAGAAGGTATAGATACCTTGAAAGCACCAGAAAGGAAATCCGAAACCTTTGAAGTACCGCCATCCTTAGCAAGCACAGATCCAAGCAAACCTGTAAAACACAGATACTTTGACATTCAACAAGAACTGGCAACACCTCAGATTTATGCAGCAGTTAACATATCGACATCCAAAGAATGAGTCTCCAAATGTATTAAAGAACAAAGAAAAGGTCAACATGGCTTTCTGAAATTTAACGGGGCTCCTGGTCCTAATTTCACATCAGTTTGCTTTCTAATATATTCTCGGTAAATTTGAGAATTCAGGAGAAGAAAATGATCATATTATGAATGTTCAATGTGCGTAGTGGATGATGTGGTGAACAAAATGAATGTGTGGACAGCCTGAAGTGGAACAGTTGAATAGAGAAAGTAGAAATTGACCATTAAATAGAGGGTTGAGGTCATCCCACCTCCTATAAAAGCAGAAGTGTTGTACATAGCAAAAACTATTTTTTGACGAATAGGACCAGTGCTTCAAAACATGGTGGGACCAGGGTCCAGAGCATGAGTCACCCAGTCCGACTAGGACGAATCCCTCGTCAAACTGGATACTTTTAACAAAAAATTACTACTTTCTTTAAAAAATCAGAGACTTGGTGCAAGTCCCAAAGTTTTGCCAGGAGACTTGGCAGGGTGCCAAGCTGAGACAACTAGGGTGAGTCCAGAGTCGATCCTTTGACTCTTTAATCAGTGAATAGGACATCCATTAAGAAGTTTCAAAATTCATTACTAAGCATAAATCTAGGTTATCAAGTTTTACATATAACAATGGCCATGACAAGAAAAAATAATTGTTTAAAAGAGAAGGAACTACATAAAAAATACCCAAAGGCAGAAAACCTATGGATCCAATGTCATTCTTAGCTAAATCCATACATATAACCAATCTAAAGGCAGACTTCTTAGTCAGGACAGACTTTAATGCCATGTTTCCTTTGGTCAATTTAGGAACTTCAATACCATAAGGGCATGCATAACAGTTAAGGGTCACAGCATTTGTACGCTTATAAACCTACCAATCCAAAAGGCTTGGAATTCCTTCCACGACTCTATTAAAACCAAGCTTTAAAACTTCTTTGTGGTGCTCCATGATCACAAAGCAGCACAAAATCACTCCTTTTGAAGAATTCTACCCACTTGTTATCATGAGGTAAGGTGGGCATTTGAAACTTCACATTGAAACAATAAAAAATATATCAATGTGAAAAATGCACAACTACGCCATTACCAGTCCCATGCCGGGTAAGAAAGGAGGAGGGTTTTGTTAGGTTGGGGGAAAACTTTTGCCACACCCCTACCATGAATCCTGATCCAATGGTTTATGCTCATGCTACGCCATTCCCCCCGCCCAACTGAGGGTATGGCTCTCATAGAGTGGAATGACAAAACAGGATTCATGTAGGTGACCCCAAATGGTAGGGATAAGGCTTGGATGATGATGATGATCAATGTGAAAAATACGCAACTCTACCATTGTTTAATAACAAGTAGAGTAAGGCTCACCCAACCTAGAAAACTTCAAGAGCCACATATAAACAACAAAAATAGCCTAATGAGCAATGCCAACTGAAGTTAAACCCAGCACATCATCACATTCTCACAAATTCAACAGTTAATATTCTGGGAAAAGGGGTTCGAATAACAACTAAGTGTCTGAGCCTCAAAGCTCTCGGCCCAGGATTAAACCAGTCCAGAAATCAGAAAAACCTAAAGTGAAAAATTACACCAAAACAGCAGTCAGAGATGCAACAGAATCGGAAAGGAAACCGAGAACCAAAACAAACAAACCAAATTGACCTAATTTCAAATAACAACAAAACCAAGAAGCTTAATTACTGGTGTCCTCATATCAACTCGAAAACAACTTTGACGATATGAAGTGAAAGAAACTACAAATTTAACAGTGTAGCATTAGAATAAGAGAGTATGTCCTAACTAACCTGCTCCCACGAGGATCGAGAGCTTCCCTAAAGCAAGCGCCATGAATGATGGTAATAGCGCTCCTCAGATTGCCCCAAGTGCCTAATGCATGGCTTATCTCGAGCCTGGAAAGAGGTATCAGAGTCTAGAGAGAGACAGTACACAGAGCAATGACCTGTAGAGTGAGAGAGAGGCCATACAGAGTAGAAAAACCTAGAGCGAGAGCACACGAGAACCTAGAGAGAAAGAGAGAGCACCTGTCGGGGACATACAGAGAATATAATTTAGAGCGAGAGAGAGATTCCAATTTAGAGCGAGAGAGAGCTCCACGGATTTCAGACTTTAGAGAGAGAGAGGAGAGAGAGCTCCACGAATGCCAGTTTTTCTCTCTCCTCTTAAATCCGGAGTTCCAAACCCGGTAATTGCATTAGCCTCCAAGAATAAATAAGAGAGAAATATATAATATAAATGCTCCCTTTGTAAAAGCCTTAAACAAATGTGTTAAAGTATCCATGGTCAATGACTCAAAATGAACATATATAAATAATACATGATCCATGTGATTTTAGATAAAGATGCGGTTTGTATAAGGTTTGCAATCTTATTTGTAAAAATTAAGTTGAGAAATCCTACATTTTATTTGGAGAGTGTAGATTTGAAAGATAGTTTAAAACATTACCAAATATATAACAAGCCTTCTATCTACACCATCAAAATAAGATGGAAGGTTCACAGCAACCTTGGTATCAGCGTTTT